TTTGTCGTGCCAGTCATTCTTGCAGCACTTACTCTTCGTCCAGTCACTCAAGTACTCATATAATTAACAAGTCAGCTAGTTCGCACAATCACAAATCCCGCTTTTTTTTCCACACAAAATTCTTTGAACTACTGGTAGGACTCCATCATTCGGAGCTGGTTCGCTGCCATTTCTTTGTCGAACGGCGTCTGGGAGACATACTTGAGTGCTCCCATGGCTAATGGCATATCAGGCTCGCTCAAAGATAGAGGTCTTAGAGAGTTGTTCCGACCTTTATCGGTGACGAGAACAACCTGAATAAATGGTGGAGCGAATAGAGGTAGCCCAAAAGATTTGGCCGTAGCCTGGGTCTTCACCTCATCGCTGGTCAGAGGTATCGCCCCAGTGATGATATCGTATGGAATGAAGTTTGCGTACGCCTGCCAATCGTCGTTCGAGACTTGCCCGTTTGAGGTGACCTTTTTGATATTGTTCATCTGTACCGTGGTCGGCGGTGGTACGGTAGTGGTTGTGGTGTCGCCATTGTTGTCCGCCACGCCGTCCTGAATAGGGACCTTTGGGAAGTCGCCTGGGTTTTTATCGGCATAGGTTTTGATATGGAATCCAAGGTCGTATTGCGCTTCCCAAAACTGGCGGGTAGATAAGCTATGTAAATCCTCTGCGCTATTGAGACAGAACGTACCTCCTGGGGCGCATTGCCTGTAGTACCAAGGGAATTTACGCTGCTTAAAGCATTAGACTACAGCTGTCTGCGGATGTGTAGACCATATATACTTCAATTTCGATTTTCCCGGCGGTATCACGGAGATTGTCGATAGAGCCAAGGTAAACTCTGCGCGTAGATTAGCATATGTGCGTCCCAGAATACGATAAGTGTCAAACGGACGCATGATCACGATACCGCCGTGGGACGCGCACTCCGAGAGGTACACGGCTGCGTAGGCCAATGCATTGTTTTGATTAGGCGTGAGATAGAACCCACCTATGAAATTCAAGGTCAGTGAGGTCCCAAGAATTCAGGCAGACTGAGCTGACCTGACCAAGCAAATTCATCGGGCCACCTCCTCCCTGTGCGTAGAGCCAATTTTTTATTCTTGATTTGGGTCTGGATCGATGTGGAGTACGCCGCGCAGGTCGCATGATATTGTGTTGAAGCAACAGAGGCAGATTGCGACGGTCTGGACTGAATGACTCCTGCGTATGACTCTGCTACAAGTGCCGCGAATAGGATGAAGGAGATCGGATGCATGATAGAGGGGAATGTCGGTCGCGAATTTGTGAGAGAAGCAGACGATCAACGTTCTGTGAAGGGAGGGTGGGGTGAAAGTGACCAGCACTGAGGATTGGAGTCCTGTAACGGACACCTTTTAGTATGTGGTCCCGGCCAAATCTCGGTGTCCTGTTGGTAAGTTACCTTGATTTGGCTGTACATACAACCAGACGGAGTCCGCTGTTTCTCAGCCCTCGACGTTGCAAGAAGACGGAACGGGTAACAAGGAGTTAAATGCCGCCGATCGCGACGTCTTGAAAACGATTCGAATTTCGAATGAAACGGCGGACGGGGAGAGCAGCTCCGTCTTCTCGAGCAAAATGGTAACAAAACATTCAATATTGCGGCGCTGGGAATAATCATAATGGCAGTGCTATCGGAGATGCCCACCGCAATTACATGAAAGGCTTGATTCACTGTCCGGAGGATGGGTTGAGAGCAGTCGGAGTAAGGTTTGATCGGCCTTACTGGAGACGGCGTTGGTACAATGATATCTATTTACGCAGAACACTCTTTGCTTCCTGCGTCTACGCTTTAGCCTACACAAGCAAATTCAGTCCAAATACTCCCCTGGTGATTCAGGGACTTCCACACCACAGCAGCCCGCGCATGATAGCCAGCACCAATGCCGCAACTCTTCTCGAGCCCATCTTTCCAGAGGATATAGAGCGAACCATAAACGAGATGCTCCTGCTGGACGCCAGAGGCATGTGCCACACCATGTCCCTCGTGGCTTCGCGATTCAACGTCTGGTGTGTAAAAAGTAATAAATTTATCTTTGACTGTCTATAACCCTGTGTATGAATAGGACAAAACCAATCACCTTCCACACTGTCATCGTTCGCCCGCACGACAACTGGGTGCAGCGGGTTCGAGACCACTTGCTACCTAACGGAAACTTCATTCGCATACTGGTCCTTGACCTACCATTCCGGGAAGGGTTGTGGACTCGTGTCCAACCTTCGGCAGAGGAGGTGCGGATTATTCAACGATTACTCGAAGCCTCCAGGCAGACCAATCATCTCGCTGTGTCTTGGAACATCTGGGCCTTGCTGCAGCGGGAGTGTGGCGCCCTGGTACTTGAGAGTCTCTATCTCATATGGGACAGAGCGCTTGGTATCGGTGCTCCATCACTGGACCATCTTGAGCACCCACTCGCTCTCAAAGACCTTGCCATCTACGCACCTCACAATTGTTCGAAGCTGATGTCGCGTCAAAGCCATGGCGACTACTTCCTGCCGAGGATATTGGCACCAAACCTCGAATACGTGACATATGCAGCCGACCGTCGTCCAGTTCCGGCGCTAGAACGGCTGCAGGTCAAGGGGGTAACGCTCGTACTTCTCCGCGAAGAGGGGCACTACTGGACAGACGAGGAGAGGTGGATTGAGGCGATTCATAAAGAATATCCGCATTTTTGCATAACATGCCTGCGGTACCCGCATGAATTACTGAGAGAGTGGGTGGCTAAAGCGGAAGGAAAGAAGAGCGTCTTGCGTCACTCTTCGGATACTGCTACGGAGCCTACGGTTGACGGGTCTTTGTAGACATCGAATACAGAACTTTGCTGATTCCGGTCCTCGGCGGGGTTGAAATTATTAATATTCGTCTAAAACACCAGCGTTACGTTAAGCAGCGAGAGGGGCGGGGAAGAAAGCCATCGTTGATTTACTCAAGTGAGCAATAGTGAGCACACTGGGGATCCTGCCCCTTCTTCCAGATCCAATAATGAGGTGTCAAACGCATTCCATATAGCAACAGTGCTTGATCCCATGATAAGGACAATGCTCGCGTACGGACTTGGGCTCAGAGGACGCCGATCTACTATTCCCGCTACAGTTAGATCGTAATCGAAACGGTCTTGTCAAAATCGAGCTCAACGAATCTGCGGGTCCTAGAATGGGAAATGTCCTGATTTGAACAGTGTGGCGCGACCCCCGACCTTTATTCAATACGTACGCATTCCGATTGTCCAGAGAAATGTAATCGATGTACGTGCCTGAGGACCTGATGAAACCTTCGTGAGCAGGCGGTATGCAACGATACGGAATTCGAGCTCTATTCAGCGTCGCCATCGAGTTGAACATCGAACGGGGGATTGCGGCATCGAAACACCACACCAGTTCGAGGTAAGCAGTCCCTTGTCCGAGCCTGGATCGAATTCCAAAGCTGCACTTGCACCCTTTGCTGACTTCGAGCCGTGCTAATGTTAATTGAATGGAGGCTCCATGGCAAAGGCATAAATGCATCTGTGAGGAGCCCGAAGGCATTGGGGATGGAATTCAGCTCGAGGTGTGCGAAACGCCACTTATCTTTAGGTAAAATTCCCAGGGAGCTCATGGAAATCGCTCCGAAGCCTCGATAAGTCGAAGTGAAGTATGGGGCGAGAGGGTGATGTGGTGCGGGATCCGCCATCGGACAGAGCAGTTGTATCGGCGTTTACACCGAATGGATTTCGGAGTACGATAGAGAAGACGCTATCTTTGTTCAAAAATTCAATGGGTGTTCAACACTTACACATCGAACCCCACCCCGAAAGCTTCATTAAAGGGAGTCCTGCAAGCGCCAAAAAAAATCCATGGCAAAAGATAGACGCACGTTCAACGGGAGGCTCGAATCAAAGCATGGATTGACCAACTCGGGGCTAGAGAGGTATTCTGAGGGTAGCACTTGATGCCATTCTAGTTTGGAATAAAATCAGCTTGAGTCAGGCGCACGTTGAGCATCACAACGGAGAAGAAAAAGAACACGATGACGCACAGAAATAATCGCGATTCGGGCTGTAGTCGCGATCTGGATTACAGCCGGAATCTATGCGCCGGGAAGAACTGAGGATTTAGCTTATGCCGCCACGATTGCCATAAGTGATACCAAAACTGGGGGAAGGAGCAAAAGAAAATTAAACGGACCAATCATGGCTGTACAAGCTAGCGCACCGCTCAGCACTATTAGGGTGACTTCTTGCGGGAGTACGATACCATTCAGTACAGTACCTGTTGCGAAGATATTAGTACGCCGTGTCATACAGCATTATGCATGCCCGTTCAACACGCACGATCCGCCGAATCAACACTCGGATGCGACCGTATAACTCATTGGAAGCGAAGGAAGGCTTTCACCGACTCCCACGGCGGAAATTGTCGTTGAAAGGCCGTCGGGGAGCAGCCACAAACGTTCCTCGGAGAGTCATATGAAGACAAGCAGTACTTCCTAGAGCAAGCCTAGAGGACTGAACACTGTCGAGAGTATAAGCACATAAGAACGACCCTCTTCTTCATCGTGCGTTAGAAAGTCTGGTCAACGAGACTATGTCGAGAGCCACTATTGGCATCGCGTGGTTTGCATTGGAGAACGAAGACCAAACTGAAGTTGTGGTCGGGGATTCAACTTTCAAGGTGCCGGCAAGGCAAAGATAGGCGGCATGTCTGGTCGTGCGAGCAGGGAACCAAGAAGTCCAGAATCCGCCCCGACTAAGTTGGGAAGAAGACTCGAAGAGCAAGCGGAAAATGCCGATGACAGTGACCTATGACCGGCGTTTCGGTGGCGCCACTGACCCGCCACGGAATCCAGGGCGGAGGCGTACAAGCTTGAAAGCGGAGGCACTGTTACTCCGTGTTAACCTTACTTAGTTACTGGATCCATTTTGTCTTGTCCTGGTTGGAAGGGGTTCAAAATTATTGTTCCGCTTCTTTCGGTCAATGGATTATACACTTTGCAATGCACCATCACGTCTTGACTAGTATATCGGTTTAGTACACGCGCTTGTCATGATGTCAATCACACCGTGTCCGCGCGAAAGCTGGGTTCGACTCCCAGGTCGAGAGTTCTTTTTCGCATTCTTCCGATTTCTCTCCTTCCAACAACTTCAACGCTTCAATGACCTGCAATTTCACACAACGCAGGCCAGTGCATTGGATGGTGATTTGCATCAAATCCCAGAGCAAAAAGCCCGCCGGTAGTCGGCCGCAAGAACCCGACGCGCCAAAAATGCCTTCGTCTCTCTTCCACTCTGTCAAGTTCACTTCCTCCGAGTTGTCTCTGCTTTCTCTTGCTTCAAGCTACAAATCTCGGGCCATGCTAAGTACCCACTATATTATGAGATCGCCTCAAGAACCCATCAACTTCCGAAAGTCCAAGATCCAGAGCGCGTGGGTGCATCTCGTCCCGCCGCCGAGTCCACGGCGGCGGTTCCCCAGATGGCGTAGGTTTTTCCGTTGAATGGTACACAACTTACCCCGCATGATAGTAGGGTTTCCGAGCCTCGCAGGCCGCTCTAGGGCCGACCAGGCTTTGGCTCGCGCAGTTCCAGCAAAAAAAACTACGAATCGCGACCGTCGACGGTGCGACTGACTATGCATAATCTTTCTATTGTTTCGATTCGATTTACCAGTGGATCGAAGGTCTGGTAGCAAGTGCCTTGTCTCAGCCGGATTTTAACCTTTCTGTGGGAGCCGTTGGGTGCCGAGCGCGCGTTGACCGTCACGGTCTCATCGAGGGCCGAAGCGTGGAACATCCGACGCTCGTGTGGGAGGGCCCACCCGCTCCAGCCGCACTTGTCCAGCCCGAGTTCAAGACCTTCGCCATTTCTCACCGCATCCCACCATCTTCAATGGCCACGAAGAGCACTTGATACTACACGCACCGCGATGGCCTGTCCACCGCCGGTCCTTCTGCTAGTCGATTTCTCCGCCACGGTGGCTGGAACTTGCGGCTGGAACTTGTGGATATTCCGACATTCTCCGTATCGTTCAACGTCGCGCCGCTCTTCGTCAGCCTCACACTCACGCTCACTGCACCCGTGCCTTTTTCGGACGGGCGGTCCCGCCGGAAGCTCGCCTGGCGCGCGAAGCCTGTTGCCCTATCGATGTCACCCGCCTGACGACGGCTATTCCCACTTTGTCCTTCCCCGCTGATATCTCTGTACGTCTGCCAGCCTGGGCAAGGCTGGGCGCGTATCACACTGAAGTAATTCTATAAAGGGATAAGATTGGCTTGAACGAAGTGTCTGATGCTTTGCGTGGAAGATCTATCAATGCGAGACTGCAACCTGGCCGAGATTTGCTTTATCACTGTTCAAATTCGCCGCCACAAGCAAGCCACAAGTGTTCGGATTCTGATATCCAAGTTCTAGCGATGGAAGCATTTCGCACATCCTGCAGACTGGTTACAATTGTCTCGGCTCGGTAACTCTCTGGCCGCCAACCTTCTGGTCCTCTCAAGGGGTTCTCTGCTTACAAGGAAGACATTTCCTTGTATCCGCTCTACATGTATGTACTTCCTCCTTCCTTCGTGACCAAGTTGGACATGAAGTTGGGACCAAAGTTGGAGCCAAAAAACGAAGTTGGATGTCAAGTCGTGCATAGGACCACGACTCGACATCGAAGTTGGCCAACTTCGACACCAACTTCACGCCCAACTTACGCTCCAACTTCGGCTAATTCGAGATCACCCGCCAAAAGAGCGAAAAGCAAGACCAGGGGCGTTCACAGTTGAGGCTCCAACTTGAAGTCCAACTCAGGTCCCAACTTCGCTCAAGTTGGAGCTCAAGTTGGAGGTTAAGTTGCGGTCGGATTCTTAACTTTGAAACACCCTATTAAAGCCAACGCATGGTCTAAATTACCACTTGCCAACTCGACCTCTGAAATTCTCAATCCTCTAACTCTATAGCTGCCAGCTGTCCGATTCCACGGAGACACCCTCCTTAATCCCACTGCTTCCTGGCTCTCAGCATCAGCTGGAATCTAATGTACGACAGACCCGAGTTCCCCATCCTTCTTCTTGGATACCACCCGCACCGCGGCGGCCGCACCCTAAACTTCTGATTTCTACCCCCTCTCATATCCTCCGTATCCTCTTCTGGCGAACCGAAGTGTCCCAACAGAGTTGTGCGTTCAGGATTCCGGGTCTGGGCGGCGACCGGCATGTTGAGAATGTTCAACATTTTCCCGATATTCACTGCAAACCAGAACCTACCAAGGAAGCTGTAAGCATGGCGTGAAACCAATAGGTCGTCGAAATTGATCATCTACCTTCGTGGTTCGCCGGGTGAATGATGGCGGAGCATTGCGCAGAGACAATGGACAGCTGGAAGACTTTCGGAAACCCCTCAGGTGCAGGCATTGCTACATATGCAGTCGCCCTCTCCGAGGCGTGCGGCATGAAGGTAGTCAATGAGAGAATCGAAGCACGCGAGGATTCTGCCTCTGCTTCTAGCTAAACAAGGTCCAATGAGGGCGGCGAATCCATTCTATATGCGTATGAACAGCTATGACATCGAGGCTCACTTAAGCCCTAAAGCGAATTAGACTTGAAGAATCCCGATGTACATTCATCGCCGCAGTTACTCGTAGTCGAGCCAGCAGTCTTGGATCAACTGACGGCCCACAGATTGTCCTATATTCAATTTTACGCAGTTGTGCAGGCCGGCGGACGTTATAACTTTGATTTCTTATAGTTCATCACCTCTTTGGATTTCTCAAGCGAATATTGTCAATGTCGTGTCGCTCGACTCTCGATGCGTCGCTGTCTTGTCCAAACCGTCGCGTCCACTGGCAGCTGATTTGAATGACTGACACGGCTATCTCCAATGCTTCTTTGTGTTGGGCGGGTGTAGAATGATATAAACAATGGTTGGAATGTTCAACTTTTAACCAGGGAGTTCGTTAATACCTACTAAGAATGTGTCCACGTCGAGGCGGATGTTTAGCTGTCCTTTGGTCGACGGGAGGTAATAAGCGAACTATGAGTCACGGAGCAAGACCGCCGGCGGCGATCGAAATACTGGTCGCCACTGGTAGGATAAGAGTGCAAGTGAGTTTCGAACGATATTACAAATCTCAAACGTACGTTCCAGTGGAGATTGTTGCCACCGTTCAACGGCGGTCAGCAGCAGCACATACAGCCTTCACTTCCCACCAGTTCGGAGCTCTGTAAGGTGTATCTTTATGTACTGTAGCGGGCGCCTCGGAGTTCTTCAACTTGGGGGAATGCTGTGTGTGAAACTGTGATACACCTTCCGTTTGGCATCCTGAAGCCCGGCCTATGCATGTCAGGACGGGAGTGATATGCCATCCGCGAGTCCAAGAAGCGTCTCGCATATTCTTCCGTGTCCGCATTATGACGGTATTTATCGTCAAAAATTATCTACAGTCAACTGCGTACACCACGCATGGCACGGGAACACTGAAATGCGCACAGGTACTTGATTTAGTGAGCTCCTGAGGTCAAAATGTACATCACGGGATGTACAATGAACGGAGCACAACCTACATCCTACTGGCCACATCCAACCTTTCTGAGTGCAATTTAGACTGCCCTAAGGTATTTGCACAGTCAAAATGTATGCGCTGTTGATCAATATCCAGAGATTCGACCACGCACACTTGGTTCAATTGATGCGATCAAAGTTGAATTGTTGTCGTGAATTCGCGAGGATATCGGCTCTCCAAAGTGTTTACTTACCGGATGTGTTAATTGTCTCAAATTTACGTTTTCGCTGCGTTAGTACACCAGTCTCCTTGTCTCCTGAATCACCGGTGAATTATTCGATAGCATTCCACCACGACTTTGAGCGTCTCAGCCATAATATTTCTGAGACTTAACGATCATCAGTCGAATTGATCCCACAGCACTGCCGAGCCTATGAGGCCGCGAATAAATCACGGGATTGCAGTTGGGGCCCTGATACAAGTGAGATGTTGACCGGTAAATGTACACAGTGGTGAGTTGTGTGTTGACTTACGCAATGTTCATAATTTTTGACGAAAAAAGCTTTTATACCGCATTGCCGCGATCCGCGACGGCGACATCAATCATGTCCAGGTGCGTGTTGTTCCGCGACGCGTCTCGTCAAGTTCAGGAGTACCGGCCAAACTGGCCCGAGACGATATTCAACAGAGCCTGCACAGGATACGAGGTAAGAATTAACAAGGCAGAACGGCGGAAGCATCATGGACAGGTGAAATTCAACGATAAGAAACAAGGGTTACGTTGAGCGTTACCATCGAACTGAAAGTCTAGGGGGGGTTTCGGCATCGCTACACCAAGTCGTTTCAAAATAAGTACAGTGCTTACTTGACCGAGCCTGGTTCGAATTTCCGAAACTTTGGTTGCAGGCTTCGGGGCGCGCTGTAAATCTTAATCTTAGGGCTTCGAGGCGAGCTATAAATGCATTCATGAAAAGAGCGTGATGATATTGATGATGGGATTAGGCTCGGGAAGCGCAACACGCTACTTATCTTTATGTACACTCGCCAGGTACGCCCATGGTGATCGCTGCGAAGCGCCGGTAGTCGAAGTATGGGCGCGAGAAGGTGATGTGGGGCGAGATCCACACTGCGATGGAGCGGGACGGCTTGAATATCAGTTACTGCAATAAGCTGAACGATTTAAACACGAAGCGGATACTGAACTTGGGGCCATCGGAATTCCGGCGTCTTGTATTTGGGTCAGTTATAATCCTGGGTTAATTCAGAAACGGCGGGTGCACGCGGGTGTACTTCCGCCTCTGCCCTCCGCCTATCTTCTAGGATTCCGTTTGGGCCCGTATCTTGACGCCCATGATGATCGCTCCGTGGAACAGAAGAATGCCGTTGTTGATCCATATGTATTGGCATCGCCCTTCAGCGCTTCTCCAGCTCCATCGTGGGGCAGGCATGGGAGCACCAGCGTCGGCCTGGGCAGAAATCGCGCAGCGTCAGTCAGCATAACCAATACTATCAATAAGACAAGGGTGATCAATGATACACCTGGCGCCTCCCGGGTCTAGGTGCAGATATCCTGGGCGGTGGGATTGAGAAAAGACGCACTCGTGGCCGCCACAGGG